ATTATAGATTGATATCTTTTACAACAGATGAAAAATCCTCACAAACTCTTGGTAAATTGAATCCAAAAGGCTACAAAGAGAATTCTGTATGACATTTAAGTGGGCTTTGTCCCTGGTATCCAAGGTTGATGCAATAGTCAAAAAATTAATGCAATCCAAGCACATCAACAGACTAAAAGGGAAAAGTCACATGATTATATCAATAAATTCAGACAAGGCTTTTGACAAAATTCAATACCCACTCATGAAAAAGAAAAAAAAGAGTAAACCAGAAACAGAGGGAACTTCCTCAATTTCATAAAGATCTATCTACAAAAGCCCTACATCGAACATTTTCCTTAATGGTGACAAAGTAACAGTAAGCTCGAGTCAAGGATGTCCTCCCCCACCTCCCACTAACCCTTTTCAATATCCCACTGGGAGAGCTACCAATGTAATGGGAAAAAAGGACACGGGGTGTAAACAGAAAAACAATTGTTTTGGTTCACAGAGCGTAAACAGAACATTGGAGAGAAACAACAATAACAAAAATCCCTAGAACCATTGAGTGATGAAAGTCTGAAACTACAAAATCAATTACTTTTCTATATGTCAGCAATGAATGACTAGAAACCTAGTATCATTCACTATAGCACCCCTCCCTAAAATAAAACATAGTTATAAACAAGCAACGCACACACAAGAGCTGTCTGAAGACAGCTATGACCCTGGGATGAGCAAAACCACAGGACCACGGGAGTGCAGAAATTGTCCTGTTCAGGGACAGGAGGACTTAACAGTCAGGGTGTCCATTTTTCCCAACTTGACTTACCTATTTAAAGCAATTACAATCAAAATACCAGCAAGCTTGCTTTATGGACCTTGACAAAGTGATTTTAAATGCAGAGGTAAAGGACCTGGAAAAAAGGGCAGTTTTGAGGCAGAAGATTCTATCTGACTTCAAGACTTACATAAAGCAACAGTAGTCAAGACAGTGTAGGACTGGTAGAGTTATCGCTGAACAGATGAATGGAAGGGAGCAGAGGACCTGAAGTAGACCGCAGATTGATTAGTCCGCTGACACCTGACAAAGGGACACAGGCGAGGTGTGAGGACGTACACCAAGGCGGCAGCTGGAACGAGGGGCCATCTCCCGCAAAACAGCGGACACAGACACAGAACTTACACCCCTTACAAAAGTGAACACATGAGGATCACAGACCTACACGGAAGACATAAATCACAAAACCTCTAGAAGGTTTACAAGGGGAACACCTTGATGACACTGGAAATGACATGACGATTTCGATAAGATAACTGCAGAGCGATCTGTGAAGGAAGTCCTCAGAGGCTGGGTGCCATCCGAATGAACAGCATTTGTTGTACAAAAAACAAGCTGGACGCTGGATGAGGTAAGCCCCAGACTGGGAGAAAATGTTTGCAGAAGACACATCAGCAGTGAGTGGTCACCCGTATAGACAGTGCTTTTGCTCTCAAGATCAACAATAAGGAAACAACTTGATGAAAAACGAGCCAAAGACTTGAACAGACACTGACCAGAGAAGACAGACAGAAGGAAGCTAAGCACCTGGGAAGATGCTGACCGTCTCACATGGCCAGGCGCTGCAGATCTAGACTATCGTGCCCCCTGCCAGAACAGCCAGCCCTGGGAGCGCGACACCCCGGATGCCGGCGAGCAAGAAGCTATAGGAATTCGTTCTTTGCTGGTGGACAAGCAAACTGACACACTCACCTTGGAAGAGAGTTGGACAACTTGTTATAAAACCAAGCATATTCTTACCACATAATCCAGAAATCACCTCCTATAATTTACCCAAAGGAGTCAAAACCATAGGTTCCACAATACCCTGTGCACAGATGTGTATATCAGGTTTATTCGTATTGCTAAAACTGGGGAGCAGCTCATGCAGTGAGCAGAAGAATGCACCGTGGTCCATCTGGACAGCAGAACGTCATGCACTGAGAAATGACGGAGGAAGACAAGCACGGCGCGGAGGACAGAGAGCAAACTGCAAAGGCAGCCCGTGGGAGGACCAGGCCGCCACGCTCCGGCGAAGGCAGGCTCTGAGACGGCAAGAAGTCAGCCGTCGCCAGGAGCAGAGCAGGGGCCAGCAATTTTAGGCAGCGAAACACGCTGCGTGATATTAAAGGAGGGCTGTGTCGTCACGCGTTTGTGTAGACTCACAGAACGCATTATACCAAGGAGAGCTGTCAGGCAAACTCAACACTGGTTGACTGTGATGTGTCAATATAGGTTGATTCTTGGTGAAAACCAAACCAAACCAAACAACAGCAACACAAAAAACCTTTGGATGAGTATCGTTGATACAGGGAGGCCAGGCTGGCTGGGGAGAAGAGGCAGCTGCAACATCTCTGTCTGTTCTCATAATTTTGTCGTACATCTTCAAATACTCTAAAAAATAAGGTCTTACCTTGTACTAGTATGTTAAAGGTGCGCAGAAAAAAGTATTTAAACTACTTAAACACTACCATTCTCATCCAGCTTTAATCTAGTAGGTAGTTAACTGTCGAATTTCACTTAATGGTGTTTGATTGGTAGATATAGGTAGAAAAACAAAGTATCAAGAGACCAGACTCTTATTTTCAAATCTTCAAATTATAACTGCAGATAACTTGACTTATTGCCAGGAAGATACATTATGCCAGCATCAGAACCGAAGAAGTACATTTATTTAAATCCAACTTTGCACGTTAGTAACTTTCAGTGGAGAGCGGGCACGTGATAATATAAACAGTGACCCAGAGAAAGTGGGTGCTGAGGTCAGACCCGGTTTCTAGACTCTTCCTAGATCTTTCAGACTGAGGATTTCACAATCTTTTTCACACAGAAAACACAAATAAGCGAGTGAGAAATGTTCAGACTTGATAAGAGTAATAAAATACCACAAATATTAATGATTAATTTCCTCTAGTAAATGGGCAGAGACTGAAAACGTGAGCACGAAGCTGGAAAAGACGCACACGTTTGTCCTCTCTGGCCCGGCGGTCACAGTCTAAGTGGGGCGAGCCTTCTGGAAGGAGGTTTGGCGAAATGCATCAAGAACCTTAACCATGTCCTCTGCCACTGGCCTGTCCCCTTGCCGAGGCTGTGTGTGTAGATGGAAAGCAAGCACACTCTCAACACGTATTGTTAAATTATGAACCACTGAAATCACCAGCGATAGGAGCCTGAGTGACGCAGCCCGAGCCGCGCGATGGAATCTTAAGCACCCGATTTTAAAAAATGAGTTTTCAGGGAACACCAAGTGGCAGGGACAATTCATTATGACGCTGCGTGAGAGGAAAACGTCCCGACACGAAGCTGTGTCTCCACTACGCCGATGTGCAGTGAGCGTGTGAGCTGACACATGTGCACAGACACACACCGCCTACACCTGCAAGCCTAGGAACACGCAAGACACCAGAGAGAACCAAACTCTTGCTAGCCGTGAGGAGAAACAAAACTCACATTTTCGTAGCTTACTGTGGACTAGTTATCGAAAAAAGAGAAAACATAAAGCATCAGTAGGAAACACACCCAGAGTGACCATCAACGCGTTAGGACGCTGGGGTGTCTTGTGTGGGCTTCTTCAACACCCCTGTGCATGAGCCCCTCCCTCTCCTCCGCTGCCTTAGAGAGGGGGACCCCATCTCTCCAGTGGTTGACTAGCTCCCCGCTGAATCCTGACCTCATACAGTAGCTTCAGTCTAACATCCTCCCCCGCCCCTCAAAATAGGCAACTGGGCGATATTTTTACTGCAACAGCCAATGTTAGTTTTCCAGTAATCGCCTTCCTTTGTGTTTGGGAAGAGGTTGGCTGCCTGCAAAGAGTGTTGTGAGTTAGTAACACAAGGTGACAGCGCACAGCAGCGGGCTCACAGGGCAGAGCCCCCTCAGAGGACGCTGTTCCGGCTTTCAGGGCCATCTCCGCCAGAGCTCATGGGGTTCGTCTCCCCTCGCTGGCTGGCTGCGTTCTGGCTCAGGGAAAGCGTCTGGACTTTCCCTTTGAAAAACGGAAGACTGACTTGCTACCTCGTGCTTCCAGAGCCCGGAGCCCTCTCTGTACACTCCCAGCCCCTTTCCTGGGGCCAGCTGTTCCTCCTGCAGGTGGACACCGGCCTCAGCCCAGGGTGGGCGCTGCGGCGGGGCCCGTGGGGCTGCCCATGGGCCAGACCTGCCCTTGCAGGTGCGCGCCTCCTCCCTCCCCTGGGAAACAGGTAGATAGATGTTAGGTTTTAGGCTCCCCGGTCAACATTTCCTCTCCGTTAAATAAAGACCAGAAGCCCCGTGTCAGCAGTGGCCATTCCTGCTACCGAGAAACCACCCTTTCAGGCGACTCCCAGGCCACGCAGTGGGGTGCCGGCGGCCACAGGCAGATGACGGGGTGCGGGGCTGCCGGCGCCTCAACTTCTGGAGCGAAAGATGCCTTGTGCCTACCCGTTACCCACTTTGCTATTTCACTTAAAACTATCGGGGCGGAGGCCCCTCTACCGCGTGGGAGCTTCTGGCCAGCCTCGGAGAAGACGGGACCCTCGGTCTGTCTTGGTCATTTGCGTGGTGTCGCGCGGGGACTTCACGCCAGCGTCCGCCCTGCAGATTCCAAGGCGCCTGCTGTCCACTCTGTCCTTGGCTCACACTGTAACTCACGTCTGGCCAACCAGTTCACGGATTTCCGTGAGACTAGAAACCACCAGGACCGAGATTCTTTTAACTGGGGGGACGGGACTCTGAATGAAGCCACAGCGTGCACACGGGCAGGCGGTGGGGCCGCTTTGGACAGCGGCCGAGGGGTGTCCACGCGCTGTGACTCGCTGCTGGCAGCAGCGCCGCGCCTTGGTTTGACCAGACGTCCCTGACGTGAGGCCGCAAGCAAGGGGAGGCCGGGTCTGGCCGGCCGTCTCACCAGTGGCTACGAAGGCGAGGGCTCGCCTTGGCAGTTGCTTCATCACCTCGGTGCTGGGCACGCAGCCGGCCAGCCCCGGGCAGGGCGCCGTCCTACCTGACGTCCGTGCAGGCGATGCAGGCGATGTCCCGGCTATTGGTGGTGATGAGGTTCAGGGCCACCGACGTGTCCTTGTTCGAGGTCGGGTGTGCGCCGCATTTAAAGAAAAACTCCTGCGGAAATAAGAAATACCATCACAGACGCGGCACCAGGCTGGCCATTTCCTAGCGTCTCGACATTTCCGCCTCCACAGTCAACGATCCCGGCAGGGGAGGATCCGTCACTGGGGCGAGCCGGACACTCATCAGGGTCAAGCCTCGCGGGAAACCACGGGCAGCGCCCGCGGCTGCTCCACCCCCTCTGCCCCCCGTCCTTCCGTCCGGCCTCGCCCGGAGCGTGCCCTGGTCAGCCGGGAGCCCGGAGCACAGCGCACGCGGGCGCGAGACAGCCTGCAGGCACCTCGCGGACCAGGGAGGAGGCCTGAGCATGCAGCGACGCGCCGGCGCCGCAGTCTGCCGCGAAGCCAGGGAGCAGCGGGGCCTGCTCTCCAGGGTGACGGCCGCGGCCTGTCAGAGCGGCGCAGGCCCTGGCCGGGGCCCTGTCTGTCCCCAGACGCGGCCTGCAGAGGTGGCCCAGGCACACTCCCGGCCCACGCCGGCCGTGCCCTCGTCTGCCTGTCTTCAGCCGCCCAGAGCTCCCGGGAGCCTCTGCCGTCCGCCCCCACACCCGACAGCTGGAGTGTTCTAGAGCAGAACTTCTCACACACCAAGGCCTATGTGGCCAGTCCGCTCTGGGAGGCCCCCCCATTCCGGTAACTGCTCTGCTTCCTGCCAGTCTCCCACCGTCGCCAGTGGCCTCGGGAGGCCACATTGCCTGCTCCATGCAGACGTCCCTGGCGGGAGACACTGCGGCCACCTCCGTGGACGCCACGGCGAGACCCGGCCAAGACCAGCTGTGGACCCTGCAGGGTAGACGGGCAGGCCAGGGCACACGGACAGGCCCCCCAGCCCCGCAGGGCACGCGGGCAGGCCCCCCTTCTGCAGGACACACAGACAGCCCCCCTCAGCCCCGTGCAAGGGGACAGGTAGATGAGAACGCTATTGCTGGGGTGCAGCCCACGAGGGAGTGGGGGGCTCCTTCCAGAGCAGGCTCGCACACTTGCCCCTCAGGACTCCTGGGACCTGGTGCTGCCCTGGATGGGGGGGCAACCAGGGCTGTGGGGGGCTAGAGGTGCCGGAGTACAGAGGGTTACTGCTTGAGTCTGGGCTCTAACCTGCAGAGTGGGAGGCCGGGCTGGGGGCGCGGTGGGTGGGGGTGGCGGAGCACAGGTAAGCCCCTGGGGTCGGGGACCTGCTCTCATCCCACTTTTTAAGCTCCGCGTTGTAGGCTGGAGCGGTCAAGGGCAATATGCTCAGCATTAGCACGGTGGCCGCATCCTGATGAAGCCTGATGGAGGCAAACATATGGCGAATGGACTTTGCCAGCAAACCACAGATTGTCCACCCCTGCTGGAGACCCCGGGATATCCGTGGGTTGTCGTATTTGTATCTGTGCCCTAATAGTGCTTGGCACTGCCAAGCATCAGGTATCTTTCCTTTAGGAACAAAGCCAAGAGGGAAGCCGACAAGTGCTCCGGTGGCCTGCACACACGGCCAGTGCTGCCCTTCACACGCCCCTTCCCTGCTCGCAGGCTCCCCAGCCCCGGCCTGCGTCAGGGTCAGGGAGCAGCACCCGCGGGCTCCGAGCCCAGGGAGCGCGGGGAGCACCTGCGAATCACCTGTGGGCTGCAGAGGGGCAGGGGCATGGGTGGGGGGCACCCCAAGATCTTCAGCAGTCCCAGGTGGGGCCAAGACTTTGCGTTTTTGACAAGCCGTCAGGTGGGGGTGCTGACAGCTGGAGACTGTTTGTCACCTCTGAAAATCCTGCCCCGTCTCAGGTAAAGTGCGTCCCTTCATGCCATCTGGGGTGGGGCGCGTCCCAAAGGCAGTGCCGGGAACGCAGGCTCCTAACTGCGAGCTGCCTGCCAGCCTGGGGGCGGCGGGGAGTAACCGCCAGCTGTGCCGGCGGCTGCAGCCTGGAGCAACAGAGCGGGTGGCGGGTCCTTGGGGTGCAGCTCGGGGCCCCTGCAAGGCTGCCCACCAGCCCGGGGACAGCGGGGAGGTCACGCAGGACCGTTTCTCTTCTTTTTCCACCTGGAATGCTGCCTGTTCCCCCTGATCTTATGCACTACAAATCCATGAAAACTCAGTCGAGGAGGGTTGGAGAAAAAATGTGAAGCGTTTCTTGCCAAAACAAAAAGTTTGGAGGACGCGGCTGGTCCTGCGTTTTGCAGACCTGAAAAAAATCCTCGCTCGAAACACAAAGTAATTCCTCCCAAAGAGCTGAGCTGGCGGGACCAGTGAGAAGGCATTTCATACACAGATAAATAGATAGATCGCACTTGTATTTTTTCTTAGCTTGCAGAAAGCCACTGGTAGATATTCTGCTAACAAATCACACATTGCTTTAACACCAGATAAAACACCATTAGATAAAAGCCCAGATCTTTTTTTTGGGGAAGGGATGTTTACAGATAGAAGAATAAGAAGTTACAGCTTTAAAAGAAAAAAAAAAAAAAAAACCCAGTCATTTACATGGCGTGACACAACTAAACTACAAACGACCAACTGTACGTTAGTGTGTCCGTCTCATGAGAGCACTTCAGTGCTTTTCCAGCATTTTTTAGGAAAGGTGACAGCTGGCAGGGTGGCGGAGGGCCTGGGACCTCACCAGCGTGCTCCCTGACAGTGGGGGCTGTGCCGGGTCACAGGTGCTGGCAGAGGACACCAGAGTCCTGGTCACCAGGGCCTGCCCGGCTGGGGAGGGCAGAATGGAGCCCAGGCACCGTGATTGCGTCACTTCCCTGCACCCCAGAAAACAGAAGATGGGCAGGTGAGCTAGGAGCTGCGTGCACAGACCACCTGCCTCCGGCTGGGGACCCCAAGTGCGGGAGCCCAGGCCTCTCACAAAGGAGCTGTGAGCAAGCCTCTGTCAGAGGGAAACACCATCATTATTATAATGCTGGGCTAGAAGCAGCCCTGCTGTCCGGCTCCCCGGAGAGATCACCGAGGACACAGGGCGGGACGGGCCTTCTTCGCAGGAAGCACACTCACGAGAGCTGGGCCCAGGGCCCCGCAGCACCTCTGTCCGCAGCGGGGTGACTGCTGTGTGCAGGTCGCTCCTTGCTCCATCGGTCAGTGGGGTCGGGTTTTCGAGGCCTCTGTGTTAGGGCCCGTCGCTGTTGGAAGCACACAGTCAGGCAAAACCAACCCACCAATTTTAAACATTTAAATAATGTTTAAAGTGGGAATCCCACTTTCCTTACACCAGGCTGTCATCTCCCCAACAGCTGCACACTTCTTGGGGGGCATAACTGCCTATGAATTGTGCGACTTTCTCTATTTTGTTACCCTGGGTTGTTCAGATTAAAACTTAAGGAGGAGAAAGCTGGAAAAGCCCAGCATCCACCGGCTCGGTGAGGAAGTGACACTCGGCAGGGCGCAGTCCCCTGGCACCCAGCCCACCCCACAGGGCCTGGGAAACTCCACAAGGCCACCAGGACAGCGCCGGCCCGGCCAGGCGCGTGGGGACGGCTCTGTTTCTGGGAGTGATGGGAGAAACAGTCCCCTGGGTGACGTCAACAGGGGCGTCTTGCATTTCCCAGGAGGCAACAGGGACCCCTAACTGCGGCTCAGCCACCTCTCACAAACAGCAGCTCTCTGGTAACTCAGCTGCCAACAAAGCTGAGAGACCAGAGCAAAAATAATCCCAAGCCCCGCCACATCGAAGGAGCCCAAGGAGGCAGGGCTGCCATGGTGCTGGCTGTGGGCGAGGCTGCGGCCGGCTCCAGGCAGCCTCGGGCGGCGACGGGATGAGAGTGAAGACAGCACCGTCTGCTTTGCGTTTACAAGCGGCAGTGGGCACTGTAATAGGCTGAATGAAGGTCCCTGGCAGGGACCTTAAAAATGTGCTTGGCTTTCTGACGTGACCGCGTTAAACACCAGCTTCCTCCTCGCTAGTGCCCAGCGCAGACGGGTCCTCAGGCTGACAGAAGTGGACTCACGTGTTCACTCTTCCTGGGGACGGAGCTCCGGCCCTGCCCTTCTGTCCACGCCGAGTTCCCACACTCCATCAGGACTTACTTGTGCCCTTTCATCCCCAGCACCGAGGCCAAGCCGGCCGCTGCCCAGTCAGTCCCCTCAAAAAAGAAGTTGGAGGGCCAGGCCAGGTCCCCCCACTCCAGTCACCACTGGCTGGGGGCTCCCCACGAGTCTCAGAGGCAGCAGGGACGGTACAAACAAGAGCAATAACCCAACCAGCAAAATCTGAGCATTAGGTTAACCCCAAGAACAGAACTGTATGAAGAGGCTTCGCCACCGGAAGCTAATCCTTCAGCTCCAAACACAAATCGGCATGCTCCACATTTCCACGAAAACAGCTCAAACGCAATCTGCTGTGAATCCGAACAAAGGAACGGAGAGGGCTACTTCTTGTGTCTGTGAACCTTCTGGAAGCTTCTATTGAGCTCCTAAGGTTAGCCATTCGCACAGATCATGCTTAACTATCATGTTTTCCTAAGAGAATGCGGTGTCTCCACAGAGCGCAAAACACCACGTGGACGGCAAACACACACGCGCTGGCCCCTCAGAAGGAAGCGGCCCTTGCTCTGCAGAATCAGCCCTGCGGCCTCACGCGGGAGACCCAGGGTCTCTGAGGCTCCTACCAAGAGACTCTCTGGCGGCCGTTTGCATGGGCCAGGGGCAAACTGAGGGGACAGTGTCACCGCCGGGGGCGCCGCTGCAGGAATCTAACGTGGGCTCTGGTGACAGGTGGTGGAAGCCCAGGAGAGCTAAGTGGGGGCGGCAGTCACCCCTAGATGAGAAGCGTGAGGGGCTCCAATCGCCAGGGAGAAGGTGGCCTTCCCACGTGGGCTGGGGGCGGGAGGCTGCAGCAGGCCAGGCGGTGCAGGCTCAGGCTGTGAAGTCCGCTCCCAGCCTCGACGCGCTGAGGCAGCTTCCCTGTGAGAACAAAGCAGCGCATTTCGGGGTGCCTCTGCTATAAAGACACACGGCTATTTACACTGATGGCGCTTAACAAGCCTGTCACACTCTTGAATGAGATGAACGAGGACACA